TGCTCCTTCCCCAAACCCCGCTGTCCCTCTGGGCTTTGGGGCTGTGCTGTGGTGCTCAGGGAGCTGTGTCAGTGCCACAGGCAGCAGATGGGTTTCATGGAGGGACAGTCCCCTCTGTCACTGCTGCTGGGGGCACTGCCTGCACTTAAAGCCACTGTTCCTCATGGAACTCTCCAGAACTGCRACCYCAGGGCAAGTCCAGGCAMAAAMAGAGTTTTTCCTTTTAYTAAGGARGTTGTGGAGGAATTMAAACTCTCYRAATMTGAAATCTGGATAAAGCAGAGCRGTGAAGAGGACCTGAGAAGGCTGGYTGYRCCCAGAGYTGCTCAGAGGTGAATGATCTGAGAAAGAGCAAACCATCCTCCAAGAGCAAACCCGCTGGAAATGGGGATCTCAGAGGATRTTCCCCCATTCCTGGGCCCTACAGCTGCTCCAGCACTGCAGAGGAGGGTGCAAGGATGGAAGCAATGCGCTCATACAGCCCAAAACAGCTCTGCCATTGCCCAAAGCAGCCCTTTTATTGCCCAAAGCAGCTCTGCCATTGCCCAAAACAGCTCTGCCATTGCCCAAAGCAGCTCTGCCATTGCCCAAAACAGCTCTGTTATTGCCCAAAGCAGCTCTGTTATTGCCCAAAGCAGCTCTGTTATTGCCCAAAGCAGCCCTGCTATTGCCCAAAGCAGCTCTGTTATTGCCCAAAGCAGCCCTGTTATTGCCCAAAGCAGCTCTGTTATTGCCCAAAGCAGCTCTGTTATTGCCCAAAGCAGCCCTGCCATTGCCCAAAGCAGCCCTGTTATTGCCCAAAGCAGCCCTGCCATTGCTCAGACCTGTTATTTTCCCAGTCCTGTTATTGCCCCATCCCAAGAGCCCTTTTGGGTGTGCTCAGCAATGCTGCAAATCCACATCCACAGAAAGGGGCACGCTGCTGGCACTGCAGCCAGGGATGTCCCTCCTGCCACGGGTGGGTGAAGGGACAGGGCTGGCACAGCACAGCAGGAACAGACCTAAGGAAAACCATCTGCCGTGGTTAAATTAGCACAACGATCCTTGCACTGGGGATAAAAATAGACAGCACAGACCCAGCTGTTTTAAAATTGGAAAGGAAGCTGGGAATGGGGTCAATCCCTCTCCTTCTCTCAGCTCTGTGTGCCACTGACCCAGCTCTAACACGAAGCTTTCCCAGCACTGACTCTGCTGTTCACGACTCACATCCCAAGCTCAGGAGGCACARCCCACACCATCTCCAAAACCCAACCAGAAAAATCAGCACTGAGGCCTTCCAGGAACAGCCTGAGAGCGAATGAAAATGTCACCTGCAGCCTSCCCAGCACATGGTGCAGTTCATTAAAATCAGGAGTGGGTCACTGCTACAGCAGAGGCACCAGGAYGGGTCCAGCCCTGGATCCCCACTGAGGTGATGCTCAGCTGGAACAGAACAGCCAGAGCCTGCAGGATGGAAACCAAACCATGGAAAAACACGGGAAAAACACCAAAATGGGCTGGAGAAACCCTCAGGGCTGGACTGCAGTGTGGCTGAGTCCTGGTGCACGCTGTGAGCTCCACATGGCCTGTCCAGCCCTTCCCGTGAGGCTGCAGCTGCAGTGAAACCTCCCCAGAATAAAACGGATCAAACTGCACCAAAGAGATGTCCTGGGATGGCAGAGACCCCAAATCCTCCTGCTCCATTTCTCCTGAGGCAGGGAATTCACCCGGGCTTCCCACACCCTGAGTAAATAATTCATTCCATTATTTACACCTCTTGTAGTTAATTAATAACAAATCAGTGATTTAGGGGTGTTTCTG